ATATATATATATATATATATATATATATATATATATATATATAACCTTAAATTACAGGGAGGCCTATTGATATCAGGCAGCTTAAATGAATTGTAGGCTGCATGAAATGTGTTTGATAAAAATGTCCAGGGGATAAATGTAACACCATCTGAATATACAATAGGTAGGATTTTAACCAAAAAAAAAAAAAAATCTTTATCATATCCACACTATACATGCAGATGATGCAACAGAGAATGTATTTACCTCTTTTTAAAGATATGTCAAAGGAGGTTTTAAGCAAAACAGAAAAGTCAAACATTTCGAGAGGCAAAGTTTCAAAATTATTACTTGCATGATACAATTAGGACAGCCGTAAGGTTTCTTTTCCCAAAGCGTGCATTAGGCTAACTATGCTTCTAATCGTTGCCTTGGATAATCTCGCTTTTGGGTACAGAAAAAGGGAACAGTAGCGAATGTACTATGATGTTCCCATCTTAAACATATACTTCTCTATTGCTTCCTACCAGTTCACATCCCAACCAAGCTTAAAGCGAGAGTTGTCATTTCAATTCAGAAATCTGGTTACATTAAGTTTATTAAAACATTATAGAAAATAAGTGGGGTTTTTTTTTGTTGTTGTACAAAAATTGGATTGGGTTCATAATTGTCCCTCTTGCCTCTTGCTTAATTTCTTCAGCTTACTCCTATTCCTCTATGTTTAGTATACCTGAAACGCACCTCCTTTGGCATTATCCCACCATATAGATGTTAACTGTACTGCTGCTAACATATATTGGAAATTATGCAATAACTTGGCCACCACAACCACCTCAGTACATCATACCTTGGTTATATACGTGGCCCACTGAGTATTTCAGGGCAAAAGTCCAGGGTAACACTAAGAAGGCATTCAGATGACATTATGCTGACTCTTGAAAATTATTGTTAAGAAACTTCCAACTCTTGCAACTTCACAAATGAAGATTATTATTTCTTGAAGAGGAAGTTTGATTTTTTTTTTTTCTCTTCAGAACCAGGGTGTACTGTGATGAAATTGATTTCAGGAGGGGAAGAACTGAAGGCAGATGTGCAACATTCACAGTTTAATGCCAAGCACAGATGAATCAAATTCCTTAGTTGCTTTTCAGACAGTTGTGTATGTAGAAAAAAAAAGAAAAAGAAAAAAAAATGCTTAGAAAATAAAAAAGTTTGTTTTGTCTGTTTGGCTATTACCAAACCAGTCTTTTTTCCCCATTAACAAACAAAAAACGGGGAATTAAAATTAATCTGATTTGTGGCAATAGAGGTCCTTAAGTGCTTTTAATTCTTCAATTAATGTCTTGTTTTGGTTTTCAAGGACAGCTACTCTGTTTTCTAGACATTTGACGTATTCTTTTTTCTTCCTGCGACACTCGCGTGCTGCTTCCCTATAGGCAAAATAAGAGAAAATATTCAGACTCGGGACAACTTTCAACATTCATAGCTGATTTTAACTTCAGTAATGTAGTAATTTTAGAGCTAGAACAAAAAGAGTTCTCCTTCCCATCCATATAAGCAGTAAGTTACCACATTTAAGGGCTATAAGTTTAGAAACCATCAGGGATAAACAGGAGAACAAGTGTAATAACACCTTCCATTACCAAATCTCTTGTAAGTAGGCAGTAACTAATTCTCAAAGCATTAAAGGAACCATCTTCTCTACAAGGCCCAGTGCAATTAAAGGTTTTGTCTCTATATATTATGCCCCGTGACCCCATTAATATGCATTCTTCTGTTCTTGAGTTGGGATTTTCAGCATAAGCTGTGCTCCCTCCATAAGCCAGGTTTACATTTCAGGCAATGTTGCTGCACTTGCACAATTTAATAAGAGATCTTTCAGGGCAATGGTTGAGACTGATGGTTCTCCGCTATCTGTTCTCCTCCCACTGTCCCTCCCAGCAAGAAAGCCAATCACTCTCCTGAATATACAGTGGGGAAAAGTTAGGGTTTCAAGACAATTTTTATTATGCATTTAGCCTTAATTTATTATTTATTGGATGCTTCTTCTGACAAGATTGTTATTTATACTCCTCTCTCTCAGTCTCTCAAAAGTCTGCCAGATTTGGAATACAAGAAAAACCCAAGCTAGAGAACACTTAGTGCTGAACTAAGTTGATTGTCAGACTGATAAGAATTCAAACAATTCACCGCTGTAGATTTCTCCACTTTATCAGAGTTCTGCTTCCTCTCTGGTCCATAGTCAACAGAGGTGAAATGAAAAATGGAATCAGGAAATCTACTTGTATTCAATACAATCATTCTAAATGAAAAATAACTCATTTTTTATTGAATACTGTACCTCTGCTTGCATCAAAATAAAGCTTTGTAAGAGAGAACGCGGAGATTTCTGCTTGCAGAACAATCACTTTCAGTCTAGTCAGCTACAAAGCTCCAATTGGTGCCTCTGAATTCCCCCACCCTCCTTTCTCCCTCCCAAAGCTAATTTTCCCCATAAAGCTCTTTGGCCAAGGAAAGAGTATCTTCTATCTCTCATCATTCCACATTTGTGTATCTCCCAAGTTTTCCACTTTTTACAATTTCCCCTATGTAAGGGTTCATGCATATACACACTCCCAAGTAGCAGTTTAACTGCTTTTGCTTCGTCAGAATAGAATAATTTGCACTTTCCACTGCTTCTGAGGTCCCTTCCAGCTCTATGTTCTTCTAGCGGTCTCTGGGAAAAAACTGCCTCCAACCTGGTCCCTTTAAAGGTATACTTTATTTCTTTTTTAATATATTGAGATAAATCTCCTCTCTGGTATTTGATGTCCCATGGTTAAGCAATTTTCAAAGGCCTGCTAAACTTGTACAGATTCTTAAGAGTCCATGACTGCGTTCTTATTGTAGTGATTGTCCTAGAAATCAAGCTTTCTTGCAAGCAAATGCTCCTATTAGATGTCTGTGCCAATAAAGTTTATTTATTTATTTTATTTATTTATTTTTCTTGTATGCCGCCCCCTCTCGAAGGACTCCGGGCAGCTCACAATAGACAAGGGAAGGGGGAAAAACTAGACAAAGACAACACTTTAAAACGACACGCCACAATACATAATTTAAAAC